AACGATGTGTTTCCCAAATAAATGCTTTAGAGGGCAAAAGCGGGGAGAAGGGAGGCCTGTGTCCACCTCTGAGCACGTTCAGAAAGCAGCTCTGAGCAAGTAATTTGCTCTGGCTGTGATTGGAAGGGATGAATCAAGGTGGGTGAGCAGGGACATGGCAGGACATGGGGAAGTCRTGATGTTCCTGGAGCCGCAGGAAAGCGGAGCTGGGCAGCCTGCTGCCAGGAGGGGGATCTGCAGACCCTCAGGAAGAGGCTCCCTTGGTCTGTCTGTTAGTGTGGGGGGCCTTTTTGGAAGTGACCTGTGAGCCTACCTATGTGTAGGTTGCTGTGGAGCTGTCAGCGATCCTGCTGGGATCCCTTCAGGAATCCCAGAGTGAGCTGCAAGTCTTGTCTTGTTGCAGGTTTGCCTGGTTCCTGATTGCTCTTCCCCAAGGTGCTGCAAAACTCTGGGGCTGCTGAAGTGGCTCCGCATCACAGAGCTGCCCTGCGTGCCTGGCAGCGCCCTCGCGGCAGCGCCCGTGTCCTCGCGGCAGCGCCCGTGTCCTCGCGGCAGCGCCCGTGTCCTCGCGGCAGCGCCCGTGTCCTCGCGGCAGCGCCCGTGTCCTCGCGCCCTCGCGGCAGCGCCTGCCTTGTTCTGCCCCCAGCAAGTTCAGTGCAGCACAGACCCGTGGCTGCCCTGGAGCTGTAGCTGCATGCGCTGCAATGGGCGAGCCAAACAGCAGCGGGTACAATGCCCAGCATGCAGTAGTGCRGAACACCCTGAACGGGTGTAATGGTCCTCCTGGGGCCATGCACACTGCCAGTCTGAGTGTCTTTAAGGGGGTTTGTGTGCAAAGGGGAGGTTTCAGAGCRCTTTCCCTCCCCGTGGCTGGTTTCCTGCCATGCTGCCAGGGACATGTTAGTTCAGAGGCTCCCTTACCCACAGCTGCACAGACTGAATTCCCTGCTTCCCACTCAGGGTCCACCTGTCTCTGTGGCTCTAGCTGCTCTCCAGCTTCTGGGAAGCAGTTTGACCCTTGAAACAGAACATATTTATGCAGAGCTGCAGCTTTATCTTCAGGCACAGAGCATGGTGGAGACCTTGAAGCAGATCCGAGCATGTGGCTCCGTCCACCAAGTGCAGCATTGTGGCAATGTACTGCTTGGGGTCTTGACGCCTGCTGATTAGGCTGTAGGGCTGATAAGTTATTCCGAGGCACRGGATGCCCCTGAGGATCTCTGCACAGCAGTTTGTGCATGGTGCAAGCCAGGATCCGTTGGATCTACCTCTGCTGAAAACCTTTCCCTCTGCTGCCACTGTCCTGGGCCAGGCCTGCGGCTTGTGTTCTTGTGGGGAATGAGAGATGGATGTGGAGCATCCACAGGATAGCTCAGGATAGCATCCACAGATCTTTTTTTTTCAACTGACCCTGTGTTTGCTCTTTCTGTTCTACCAGAACAGAAAGTGTGGAACACTTGGGGACAAAGTCAGGCTTTAACTTCTTGGTGAAATTCCTCCCTGAAATTAGTGTAGTTCTTTCTCTGCTCATTCATCTTCAGGAGAGCTTCTAAAGAGGAGCCCAAGTAAAGGCTGCAACAGTAGCTCTGTCCTTGATGGTGTGAGCAGAAGGGCTGCGTGGGTCAGGGCTGCTGGCACTTTCCTGGTTCAGGCGCTCCCTCTGCTTCCCCATCTACCTGCTCCTTCTGGGTGAGAGCAGCTGGTAAGAGAGCCCACAGCAGCAAGTGGCAAAAAGTGAMGTGATCTGGGACAACTGTTGCATGTCAGAAGAGAGTTTGAGTAAGTGTTTATAGCCCTTGGTGCTTCTGTAGCCCCATATCCTCTTTTACAACTGTGAATCATGACAGAGCAGCGTGATTCATACGCAACTCATCATTCACGGAGCTAATGAATGAGACCCCGTCGGTCGCAAGCAAACAACAAGGTGGAAGAGGGCAACGAGYACCTCAAAAGAGGGTGGACGTTTTTGGCTTGGTGGCAGTTGGATTTTTTTCCCCCTATTAGCGCGCTCTTTCTCTGTACCTCTGAGGCATTAACATCTTAACAAGCAAATCTGGATTTGGAGTCGTGGTCCTTCAGTGTACATCTTGTACCCTGAATGGCCCATTAATGCAACAAGTCTTTCAAAACTTGGAGCATTAATAATTGGAGCGGGAGGAGGGGAGAGCTGGGGAGCTGCGGCAAACCTGAGGCTGCCAGTGAGTCACAAACATCTCAAGTGCAGAAATGTCTGTTCCGCTTCCCAGTAATTGGGCACACGAGCTTTGGGCATTAGGTCAGATGCAGCTACTGAGGCCTATTCAGAGCAGGCCCCTGCAATTATTTTTGAGGACGCATTGCCCTTGATGCGAGGGTTTCCRCGCGCCTTGATTCACCTTCCCCACGGGCTGTGCACATCCCCTCACGCTGACTTGTCACGCTGGCAGGTAGCACCTTTAGGAAGAGCAGGAGAGATTGTCCCTTCCTTTCTCGTACTTAATTTTGTCCATATCTTCCTGTGTTTCTTTGGCCTGGAAGGTTTCGGCGGTTGCTTTGTCCGAGCGTTTCCTGGGGCCACCTCTTGGCAGGTCTCCGCACGCTCCCGCATGTGCCATGATGAAGCGCACGGTGCTGCCCGCGAGCTGCTCCCTGAGGTGATGCGAAAGTCACTGCCAGCACCACGGCTCGACCCTTAACTCCTGTTAAACCCCAAGGGAGCTTCAGTGGTCACTTGTGCCATCAGCTAAAGTGTGACAGCAGGAGAGGGCACTGAGTAGGGGTGCCCATCATCCCATGGTGTGATTTGAGCCCATTGTCTGTATGGGCGGTGGGATTTTGACTCTCTGATGGAGACCCCTGAAGCTGTCTCCTTCAAACGCTCCCTCGGTGGCAGGCGCAGCCTGTGGAGTGCCACAGAGGCTCCGCACCCTTAGGTTCATCTGCCCTTATTTAGCAGCYCACAGGTTTTCCAGGAAATGTTGCAGAGCTTCAGTCATCCCTCCGGATTTGACGTTAGGGAGCTAGAGTCACTTCCTATCTGATTGAATCCTCTGCCTTAATAAAAGGCATGAAGTCACAGAGCGTATCCGTGACYGGTCTACTTGTTCTTCAGCAAAAAATCACAAGTTAAGAGTCTTTGGATGGAGACTTCCCAAAGCGAAGTCACCTATGAGGRTGTGCAAGGTGGGAATGCCCAGTGGGACACAGCAAGAGGCTCATAGTGGTAATTCTCTGCTTTCCTGTCCCTGCCTTGAGCCTGTCTCACAGGTTAGGTGCCTGTGCCTCTCTAGGTACCTTGAGCTCCTAAATTTCTGTGGTTCCTGCCCCATATGCTACAGTCCTCTTGCAYGGAGACCAAGGCTGGCACCTCGGGAAGGCCACACCATATGTGGCAACAGTTCTTTCCTAGAAAGCTTCCTTGCTGGGTAAGTAAGATCAGGGTGTCTCCAGGCTGTTTGTCTTGCTCTTGCAGTCAGGCACAGCTCCTTGCTTCACTGGCTTCAGAAGAGAACCCAAAACATCTTTTTGCTTTTAAATACCCCCGTTGTCTCTGTCCTTGTGGCTTCTTGATCTCTCGTGCTGCTGTTGTCACTGCGGGACGCGTGGCGGCCTCTGAAACGTGGAGCGCCGCGCGTCTCGAGGTGACAGCAGCTGCTATTGGGCTGCCACGCAGGCCCTCCCCGGCCCAGAATAGGGACAGCAACTGGCCTCAGTTGCTCCAGAGCCCCTGGCTCGCTTGAGCCTGTGAGCATTTGCTTCCAGCTGGGCTGCAATTCACCTCTTAGCCGCTGCCTGGAAGCTTGGAGCGCTCCTGGGAGCGCGTGCTGGTGTCTCCTTGCCCCTTTCCTTTGTAGCAGTGTGAGGGGGATCTTGGAAATGGAAACCAATTAGTTTTTGAGCTTAGTTCTTGAAGGTCAGGGCCTTATTCAACCTAGTGGCATCTGTTTCGATGTGGCCTGAATTGAGGATCTTGCCGAGGGCTCGGCACCTTCATTAGCCTCCTTACACAGTACTTTTTAAAGCACTTCCCTGCTGTCTCTGCAGCCCAAACACTTCAGGGGGATATTAGTGTGTGACAGACTGAAAAGGCAGCGAGTGGGTGTTTGTCCTAGGGTAAGAAATGCAAAAAAAAGTAAATCTAGTTTTCCTAATGGCTCAAAACCCACTTTTTTTTTTTTTTGATGTTCTAAACCCCAAATCCTATGCGTTGTCTTTTTCTCAGCTGGTTGGCCCTTGAGAGGCTGGAGGGTGACATGGGGCCTGTGGCTTGTGCCTGATTGTGAAGCCTGAAACTTGGGTTGTGTTTGGGGCAGCAGTGAAGACACTGTAATAATTTTATAGCTAATGGGAGGTTCCTGAGGGAAGGTGAATGGAGAGGGTATCATTGAATCACCAGGCTCTTCCTGTGGGTTAAGACCTTCGTTGGACCTACCCAAGGCTGTACAGTAAAGGAAGGTCTAACTAGGTTATTACTGAACTTAAGCCAGGTCTGTGGTTTGTGGGGGTCTGTCCTCCCCACATGATTTTAAAGTGAGCTTTAAATCCATCGGGAGCCTCTCCATAAGGTAAAGTGCCAGGAGAAAAGTAGAAAAGACCGGCTGCTACCACAGGCTCCTTCCCATTCACTTTTCTCTATTAATCTGAGGCGAGTGTGGGGTTAAAGCCGGGCTGGGACCAGCTGCTCATGTGCCAGCTGCCTGCGCACACTGGGCTGGGCTCAAAAAGGCCCCTGAAGCTCGGGACTGTGCTGGGTTCCCGCCGTCACATGTCGGGTTGTGCTCTGCATTAGACTCCTTGGGAGTGACCTGGGCGCTTGGGGCGGCAGTTGGGATCCTCCCGGGAGCCTCTTTCCTTTCCCCGTGCAGTCTGTGCCTCGCAGAAAGGGAATGCTGCCGACAGCAAGGGCATCCGTTGGGGTGGCGGGGCAGAGGTGGCTGTGGCTGCGGCCTGTCGTGCGAATCTGCCTGTTGCTTTGCCTGCTGGCCGCTCACAACCCCTTTCTCATTTTCTCCTTTCGCAGCAATGGCACCAGCATGATCTCACTGATCATTCCCCCCAAAGACCAGATTTCCCGAGTCGCAAAAATGCTGGCRGATGAGTTCGGCACCGCCTCCAACATCAAGTCCCGCGTGAACCGCCTTTCAGTCCTGGGAGCCATTACATCTGTACAGCAAAGACTCAAACTCTATAACAAAGGTAACCTATAGCTTGCCGAGTTGCTGGCATGTTCCCCTACTTGGGGGTGACTTTTGGGTCCTGCCCTGGGCAGTTTTCTGCTAATCGCATCTGCCTGGGCTGCTGTTTTGACACTGATATTCCAAGTGTGTTTTCTGGAGGTGGCTGCTTTAGGGATGGTCCTCAGGACGTGGGTGCTCCTTAGCCTTAAACAAGTTCACGACTCTGTCCTTAACGACTGTTCTGAACTTGCTCAGCCTGGAGACCTCTTCCATTGTGGCYGATTGCCTTAAACTACAGGTTTTCCATTCAAATTGACATCCATCCAGAGGAGCCTTACATGCAAATGTGATGATAAGCAGCTGCAGTTGTTCTGGGAGGGAACAGRCCCAGGCTATTGAAGATGAGCAGAGGTCAAGGGCTCCCTGCTCCAGTTTTGCCTCCTGCAAGTGACCTTGGCTGAGATAGTCAGTCTGAAAACAGCCATGTGAGAGCTGGGAAAGTGTCCTGGGATGTGCAGCTGGTTTGCAAATTCTCCAARCTTGCAAACTCCCACGTTTAACTTTCTGTCAGTGCCATCTTGGGTTCCCTCTGGTCTCCAGCTTTACACTGTTCAGTACAGATACACTGTTCTAGAGTTAGGGTAATGATTTTCCTTCCAGCCATCCAAGAAGGAGTGATGGGGCAGATAGAAAGCAAAGGACATAGGAACTTTGATTTCAATCCCGTCTTTAAGTCTCAGATCCTGCTAGTTAGCTTTGGCTGGCTTTGGCTTGCAGCATTTCCCAGTGAGCTGAAATTGCTCTGTGTCCCTTACAGTACCTCCAAATGGTCTGGTTGTTTACTGTGGAACAATTGTGACAGAAGAAGGGAAAGAGAAGAAAGTCAACATTGACTTTGAACCTTTCAAACCAATCAACACATCGTTGTATTTGTGTGACAACAAATTCCACACAGAGGTAAGAAGTCTCTTGATTGTGTACGGGTCTTGCGGTACACAAGACCCATACAAGTCGAACTTGTTTGCTCCACTCTCTGAAATTCCCCTCGCTCCCTGAAATTCTCCTCCTGTTTGCTTGGGTCCACAGCCCCCAGAACTGCAGGCTTTCATTAAGGGCTTCCGCTGGTGAAGTATTGGGTGGTTTGTAACTGGCCACTGTTCAGAAATGCATGATATTTGCTGGGGGTCTGATGAGTTAAGATGTTGTCCTGATCTCCTGACCCAGCCAGTAACTGCTGAGTCTGTGTAACACACAGGCATGAACCTGCCTCTGTAAYTGGTGGCAGGTTTTGCTTCATACGAGAGGCCTGTAGATCTTATTCCGAGCTATGCCTTAAAGAAATGCCTGGGGAGTATAAATGGCCCCAGTCTTGATCCAGATGTGTTRCCTGAGACTCTTGATAAAGAACTGGCTTGTGCCTAATTTACTTAGGGTAAGATGAGGTGGTTTTTATCCAGCATCTAACTGCAGGATCTACTTGTTTTAGTTAAATGAAAAGTTTTGAGACCTGTTTCAGTTGAGGTGGATTTTGGTGGCTCCTTTGTTTGCATGAAGTCACTTGGTTGCATCTGAATTGGTGCTGGCTCTGTGGGCAGGTTCAGGGCCTTTCTTTGTAGCAGGTGTTTGACCACATTTCACACTGGTGACACGGCAGTGGGTGTGCGACAGGCTCAGCTGCCTCACATTTAAAATGTGGGCTTGATGCAGCTCCCAGTGRCCGAGTTCTGCCTGTTGGATTGTGTTTTTGGAGACCTAATCTTGGGGTTTCAGAGGGCGGGAGCAGAGRCAGAAAAAGGGATGTTTATTCCACAGGTGTGATGTATCTCCCTATTATGCTGCCTCCGCACCAGGGATGGAATCCCAGGGCATCCTTGACCTGCGAGGAGTGCTAGAAACTGGGAGCAGGTTCTACCCTCCTAGAGACAGAGCTCCAGAGAGCTCTGCCGAGCCCGTGTGTGTGTGGGCAAGTGAAAGGATGAGGGAATTGGGGAGGGAGAGGTGCCACTTCAAGGGTGGTGTCTGTTGCTGCAGTTGCTGGCAGTGGGTGGATGGCAGTAGGGCAGTGGGTTGTTGCCTCTCCTAGCAGGAAGGAGGGATTAATCTGCTCTTGGCAGCAGGAACTGCTGCCAGGGCACTGATTGTGTACGAAAAAAGCTGCTGTGGGCTCTTCCCAGGAGGCAGCTCTTGAGGCTGGTGCTGACAGGTAGCTCTGCTCAGCGGGAGCCGTGCTGACTTGAGAGGAATTTGCGGTACTGGCTGTTGCTGATAAGGTGACCCATGATAGCACCTTTCTGCAAGTGCTGGGTGCTCTCCTCACTCTGGGTGGGTTCTTAATTAACTCGGTTTTGGAGTCCTTGTTCATCTGTTCCTGCCACGTTTGCTTGTTCTGGTTCCCGGTGCGCTGCCAGGGCCCCTGATGGGACTGGGGAGAAGAAGGACCTGACTCTCTGTGTTAGGCTGAAGCTGGGAAGAAATTCAGCCCAGGCTGATAGGCCAAAATATAAAATCTCAAGGCCCTTGTACACTTGGAAGGTAGAAAGTGGAATTGCTGATATTGAGCTCAAGAAGGAATCACTGATCACTAGGAACTGAATTAAAATAAGAAGGGATCGAGAACTCAAGAGCTGTAGGCGTTTGTTGCCCAGCAGTGACATCTGATGAGATTTCCCTTAGATATTTTATTACATGGGTGAAACTCAAGCAACTCCCCAAGAGGGATATGAGCCCTGATGTGTGTCTGAAGGGCAGGATTTACAGTGATTTAATTTGATACCTTGGCCCGAGTGTTCATCCCAGTCGCGCAGTTTGCTTGGCCCTGTCCCAGTCAACGGGACTAAAGTGTGAACTGCCGTGGCCTCCTCTCATTCATCCTGCAGCTGAGGAGCGAATGCAAAGCATGGATCTTGGACGGTAGGTTCTAGTAAAGCTCTATTTCTGTTGCTTTTGAGCTGGAAAGCCRAAGCTTGGTGTGCGGATTCTGGATCAAGACGACTGCCTTGCTCCTTCCATTCAGCCCAGCAATTGCAGAGGCAGTTAAAGGACGYGTGTGGTATAAACCAACACTACCACTTTCTCGATACTGGATGGACAAATCCTCCGCCCTGCTAATCGTTTTTTTGCAACGCTGATGATATCAGAAAGATGCCGCTTGCTGCTATATTTGAGGGGCATGTGTGTAGCTGAGCAGCAGTGTAAGAGTGTCTCAGCCTGATACCAAGAGCAGTCAGAGCTCCCTCTAAAGGACAAATGCAGAATTTGGGGTTCCAGGCAGTGGCCCACAGCACCCCTAGGTTCTCTGGCAGGAAACACTAATCACCTGAGYGTGCTCTGCCCTATAACTAGTCGTCTTGCTCATACCCACACTCCACGTAGAAGCAGCATTTGGACAAAAGATATTTCAAGGCCTTGATAGTCATTTTTAGGCAGCTTGAACCACCTTGTGGACTGGATTTAAAGAGAAGGGCCTGCAAGGATAACTGCTTTTTGCAGCAAAGGTTGTARTTGTCCTCTCTCTAGCCAGTTTCTCACGGGGCAGCTTTAATTCTGTTGGGTAGGGCTGAASTTGTCATTGCCCCTGGGGGTTTCATTCCTCTGCCGTTGGGACCTTGTGAAGGCAGCAAACAGAGCAAAGCAACATTTGTGGTGGTTGGCAAGTGGAAAGTCAGGCTGTATCAGTGCTTTGTAGAACAAAACCCAATGGACAAACAGCCTGATCAGAGGGCAAAGCAGGTTGCTCTGGTCGGGATGCTAGGAGGAGATTCTGCCAGCTGGAGAGGTGATGAGTTTTGTTTCATCCAGAGACAGTGAGTTTTGCAGTTTCACCTGCCAGTGATGAGCTGGCAGTGCTGGGGAAAGAGCTGTCAAGCCTAAGTGTTGGGTGCCCTTCAGCTGCTGGCAGCACTGTGCTGTGAGCTGCAGGGGCTCCTGGCTCCTTATTCTGCTCCTTTTCATTTAGTTCACCGGCCAAAATCACAATGATCATCTACTGCATAAAATTTTCTTGATTTTTTTTTTTTTTTGTCCCTCACAGTTTCAGACCGAGATAAACGTGCTAAAAGATGCATTTGCTGTTTCTGCATCTCGTTAAGCTAACACTGATGATATTGTTTCTTGTTCAGGCCCTCACGGCACTGCTTTCCGACGACAGCAAGTTCGGCTTCATCGTAATAGACGGGAGCGGTGCTCTCTTTGGCACTCTGCAAGGAAACACCAGAGAAGTCCTGCACAAATTCACTGTGGATCTTCCAAAGAAGCACGGTAACACACCTGGGGTGCTCCAAAAAGGTTGCAGCAGCGGCTACAGGGTGCGGGTTGGGATTAGAAGAACAGGCAATGCCAGCTGTAGGTGTTCAGCTGTGCTCAGCTCCATGCTCCTCTGCCAGCAAAGCTGCATGGGTTGAGTCCTCTGACAAGATTAACTGAATTAACAGCATGTACAGTTGGTCTTAAAGTGACACTTTTTTCTTCTTGAGCTTTTATTTGGTTTTGGAATAGCCTTTAGTGAAGATAACTCCTCAATGTAGTAATATCACTTGGTAGTGTCCTTAAATCTTGTGTCTCGTGGTATTGCATGCAAAGTCCATTGAAAAACAAGAGCCTGTTCCTTGGGAAGCACAGAAGCTTTATGGAACAAGCTTCCCTGCTGGGATGCTGGGTTGCATCTTGAATTTGGAGAACTACCTGTTAGCTGCTCCTGTTTTACGGTTCTTCTTGGCTGAAGGTTGGGATGGGCCAAAATGAGATGGGATTGTCTTCCCAGCAAGCAAAGCTGGGTSGTGTCTGGGCTGGAATACCCTGCATCAGCATGGGGAGCTGTGTAGGAAATGGCATTTAGTGCAGGTACGGGATATGAAACCCTGAGCATCTGTGCACATTTTCCAGTGAGGCTTCGCAAAATGTAGTTCCCTCTGGGGCAAATAATCCCTTGCTGCGACCGAGTGGTCTCTGCTCGCTTGCTGTTTCTTGCTTGTGGCAAATGAATTCAGAAGGTGTCATCTGCCCTCGGCTTCAGTTCCCTGAGGCCCAGCTGGGGCCATGTGCCAATAATGTAATATTTCTAGAGCTTTCCAGACTGCTGCCTCACCTGTGCTCTTTCTTAAAGGCAGAGGAGGTCAATCTGCCCTGCGTTTTGCTCGTTTGAGGATGGAGAAACGACACAACTATGTGAGGAAGGTAGCAGAGACGGCTGTGCAGCTCTTCATCTCCGGAGACAAGGTGAACGTGGCTGGGCTCGTTTTAGCTGGATCAGCTGACTTCAAAACTGAATTAAGTCAATCTGACATGTTTGATCAGGTGAGTGGCTTTTCTGAGCAAAGTTTTAAGCTGTCAGTAGTAACTTGGTGTTAATGGCAGGAGCTCGGATATAAGATGTGTCTGAATTTAGTGTCTTAAGTGACCTGATCAAAATATAAAATCTGATGTATTTGGAAGTGACCTCCCTTTTCCAGTAGCTTCCAGCAAGGAGGTAGGAGCTCATTTTCTTAGTAACAGCATTACTAAGAAATCTGCCCTCCYTGCTGTAGAGTTGGCATTTGTGTTCTTTGTGGTCCAAAAGCAGAGGCTTTAGTAGAATTCAGCTCCACTAAGTCARCCTGTCTGGTGCTGTTGCCTGAATGTTGTGCTGCAGTATTAAGCGTTCAGAGGTCCCTCTGACTCGGGACCTGGGCTTGGAAGTGAAGTAGAAGACATCAATGCTGTGCCTCTTGCCAGGTGCTGGTTTCTGTGGGGGTTATGAGGGAGTTTTATGGCAGTACCATGTGGTGGACTGACTAATCTTGTCTCCCCATTTAGCGGTTGCAATCCAAAGTGCTCAAACTAGTTGACATTTCATATGGAGGAGAAAACGGATTTAATCAAGCGATTGAACTGTCAACTGAAGTCCTCTCCAATGTGAAATTCATTCAAGAGAAGAAACTAATAGGTAGGTGACTGTGATTAGCCTTCTTCTGAACCAAATAGATCAAACCCATTAATCTTCCTTTAGACTTTCTGGCAGTGCCTCTGTGTGGTATYTCTGGTAGCATCAATAGAACTTCTAGTGATGCTCCCTGAGGTCCTCCAGACACCTTCTCCAATGCTGCAGGAGTTAGGGGGACATTCAGGAGAGTTTTCTCCACTTCTAGCAGCCACATGTTGTTGCTTGGATGAAAACCCAGTGAGGGCAATAGTAGCAAAATAGGGACCTTCCCCTGGTGAGGGAARTAAATAGTGGTAAATCCATGTTTGTGACAATGTCTTTCTTTGCATCCTGACCGCAGGCCGATACTTTGACGAAATCAGCCAGGACACGGGGAAGTACTGTTTTGGTGTTGAAGATACACTAAAAGCCTTGGAAATGGGAGCAGTAGAGATACTGATAGTCTATGAAAACCTGGATATCATGAGATACGTCCTGCACTGCCAAGGCACGGAGGGTATGTGGTGCTTCTGTGAGATCGGAAGGGCTGCAAGGGGATTATCACCTAAGCCACCGCAGTGGGACAGATTAGCCTGGGGGAAGTGCCTAAGCAGATCTGTAAGGACTTCAGCAAGGAGATGTGTGGGCAAGTCAGTAGCCTGCAGCTCTCCCCTGCTCTGGGAGAGGAGGGAACTGGCAAAATTCCCCTGTGGAGAAGGGAGTTGCTGGGCTGGTGGTGGGTGGCAAAGGCAGCTGTGTGCTTGTGGATGTGGCACCTTGGGGCAGAYGCCCTTGGCTCTGCTGGCCACAAACACTGGGGACACTGCAGGGCCCTGGCMCACTCTTTGGTTGGGTGTTTGGGCTTGGGAGAAGGGGCTGGCTGTGCAGGACGCTTGTTCTCTTGTATGCCCAGTTCATTTTTCCACATTCCGAGTGAGCTGCAGYTATAAAGGAAGGCAGTGTCCGTGTCCAAACTCTCTGAGCTACAATTACTGGTTGTCCTTAGCCTCCTGTTGTTKTCAACCCACTTCTGGCAGTCTCATCCAACCTAATCCTGTTCTTTTTCTGTTTTATTCCCCCTCCTCAGAGGAGAAGATCCTGTATTTGACACCAGAGCAGGAGAAAGATAAGTCCCACTTCACAGACAAAGAGGTATTTCAGTGTGGGGGCTGTAGCTGAGTTCTCCGCGTGTTGGTGCAGCCCTCAGAGCTGTGGTTGTTGCACAGCTCTTGTTGACCCTTCTCTCTCAGACGAGATGTTGAGAGAGCACCTTGCTCATGTTCACTGTACCCCTGTGAACTGTACCCATGTTCACTGCACCCAGGCCTTGCTTTTCCCTTTTATTGTCCTCCTGCTGCTGGCTCTGAGGTCATGTAAATGAGTTGAGATTGCAGCAGGGAAGGGGCCTCTGACTACTGTCAACCACCCACTGGAGAAGTTTGATACCCCCATGCATCTGCGGGTTGAGGTCCCAACTATAACTTGCTCATGGGGTACAAAGTAATATTTGGAGAAACGGTGAAAACTAAAGGGTGCAGCACGAGTGGTAGGTGAAAATGGGGCTCTTTTCCCTCTACGCTCACACATGGAAGCCCCGAGCAAGACCCGTTGGCACCAGGAGCCCTGTGCTCGAGCCAGCACTTTGTCCGATGCTGACGCATCGGGAGCGCTTCTCGCCTGGCCCCTGGAGAGTGTGTCAGGCTGCTCCAGCCTGCGAGGCCAAGTGTCCAAGGCCAACTTTCTCTGCCTTGTGGCAGAAAAGGCACTTTTGGTGTCCTTGAAGCCAAGGACAACTTGTGGTGTGAGGCGCTTTATCAATAACTAACGTGCAATGACCGTAACATTGTTTGCTTTCAAATGTCTACGTAGACTGGCCAAGAACATGAACTGATAGAAAGTATGCCCCTTCTGGAGTGGTTTGCAAACAACTACAAGAAATTTGGAGCAACGTTGGAAATTGTTACAGACAAATCACAGGAAGGATCCCAATTTGTGAAAGGATTTGGAGGAATTGGAGGTAAACTGCAAGAGCAAAACCAGGCATTTTTATTTTTTCCTATCAGTTGTTTTGAGTTAAACTAGTGCTAACATGAGCAGAGAGGCAGACAAACCTGCTTCTTGCTAGTCCTGTTGCCTGTGTAAGAGGTGACTGTGGTGAGCAGGGGACTGCAGGTGGGTTTAGCTCTGGGTTAGTGGAACATTGGCTTGATGGATGTGAAGCAGAGGTGAATTATTGTAGCAAGTTACAGGGGCCAAAGGGTGCCAGGGGCAGGAACCAAGTTGAGCCGTTTGGCTGCTTGGGACACAAGGTTTCTGTGTTTTCAGGGTTTGACTTCCAGGAGTCCTCCTCAGCCTGCCAGATCTGTCCTCTTTGCCCAGTGGGAACGTTTGCTGCTGTGCTCCTGGCCCTGTAGGCTTAAAAGGCCACCCCTGAAATACCCTTCACCCAGGCAAGGGACCTTGCTTGGGGTGGGGGACCAGGCCATGAAGATGCCACTGAGCATCACTTGTATTCCYTCCTAAAAGGTTCTTTCAGTGTCAGCTCCATTTACTGTTTGGCCTTACAGTCTCATGACCAGTTGCAACAGGACCAACGTTTGTTCCCCATAAAATCATTTTGGAAATCCATGTCCTACCCTACTCTGGGCAGGTAGGCTTTGATCCCTTTGGGGAATATGGTTGGACTCAATCTTTATGGTCTTTTCTAACCATAATGACCTGATAATTATCAGGCCAACGTGGAGGTGGGAATGCCATATAGCTGAGTATCTGCTGTCACCCATAGCAGATGGTGCCCAAAACTAAGTGATCAGTCGGCGTCTGGAAACTGAGTTGCAGCGACTTGCATGCTCTTGTGTGAGGGCTCAGCAAGCTGCCTCTAGTGCCTCTCCAGCTCTCCGGGCTCTGACAAAGCTCAAGTGTTTTGTTTTTTCTAGGTATCTTGCGGTACCGAGTGGACTTCCAGGGAATGGAATAYCAAGGAGGAGACGACGAATTTTTTGACCTTGATGACTACTAGGTAGTCGACCTGGGTCCGGCAAAACGTGCCTCGCCCCTCCAGCATCCAACCCAAGGAGCAAACTCATGGTGGAAAACACAACAGATCCCTGCCTTAGAATTGGAACATTTCCAGAACTTGATCCACAAGCATTGGATTTAAAAAGCAAAACCCTACACTTTGATTTGTCATAGTGTCAGTACAGCAGCAAACTACTAAGTTCCTATATGCCACTTGGGACTAATTTAAAAGGAATCCCGGTTTTTACTTTTACTCAATGGTGAAATTGGTTGCTCTTGTATTTTATGAAAATGATTTTTTTAACCTTCATGATACATTAACTGCTGTAAACCTCTTCCTTCCAAAATTAATAGAAGTAAGATCCTACTGGTTTGTTTCTTTTTACTTTGATTGGAGAAATCAATTGCTGCATTTGGCAGCGACACGACCCATTTACATGGCATTCTCAGCTTAGACAGCAGAAGAAGGAACATTAGAGAACGGGAGTCATTCCCGCTCTTGGCAGGAATGAGAAGGCACTTGTCTGGAGTGCCAGCTTATGAGGTGTGGCTCACAAATTCAGGTGGTTTGGGGAGGCTTACCAGCCAAAAAGTACTTCCATCAACCTGCAGAGCACTGCTCTTGCAAACTAGGAAATGCACTTCATTGATTGCAATGAAAATGCTGCTGAAGTGTTAGGCTTAATTTGGATTTGAGTGATGCAGCCTTCAGGTTTTTTTTTTTTTTAAGTCTTTACAAAAATAAACATGCAATTTAAGTGAAGTAAGGTACACTTTGCTTTTTGTTCCTCGGTAAGATTTTTTTTTTAATTAATTATTTTTGCTTATTTTTTGGATTTGTTTTGCTTTAGGACTGCGTAAGGTTTCCTTGATTATGTGAATTTGATTGAACCCACAGTCCTGCACTGGAAGCGGGTGTTTCACCGGGATAACGAATGGAGTCCTGGACTGGAGTCTTAGTGCTGGTGCAGTTGGAGCATTTACTGGAGCACATGTTGAACCTCAGCCTGCCCTGGTGGGACATCCGCTCCCCAGCACTAAGGCCATCTGTCCTGTTGGCCTCCRCAAGTGTCCCATAAATCTGATGCTCAACTCGAATGTACCCTAAATGGATGGAAACTTTTGCATCAAGGCTCAAGAAGGCTTTTTTTGCCCAGTCTGCTCTACGGGATGCAGTGAAAACCCCTCRAAACGGCCAAGGGCTTTTCAAAGGCTCCCGCAGGCAGGGGGAAGGTTAGCGTTGGCACAGAATAATGCACAAATCTCGCCTCTTTTTCTGGGTTACTGGGCTCTCGCATGGGCACCTTGGCAGTGGGTGTCTGACAGCTCTGCTCTTCACCACTGCTGTGCAGTGCAGCTGCCCTTCCCAAGCCGCTGCCTGGCTTCCCAGTAACCCCGTCGCACTTGCACGGAGCAGGAGCTTGTCTTAAAGCTTCTGCCACGCTGTCCTTGGAGGTCCAGTCTTTGTGCGAGCGAGCAGGGCCATTCCTAACCCCGGGTTCTCATCTAGCAGATGCTTTTGCTGCACAGGTGGTTTCCACCTCAGAGCTGGAGTCTCCCGCAGCAGGCGGCCGAGCTTGGGCAGGGCTGTGGGCTTCGAAGCGGTATCTTCTGGATTCTGCCATTGTAAATGGGTCTGAGGTGACATGACAAGACCAGAGAAATTGGGTGTAAATTTCCATTTTTGAATATACTGCTTGTTGTTTCACATGATACATTAGGGTATGCAGCTCCTTTTTGTAGTTTTTATTTTTACTATTTAAGTTTGGAAATGATGCCAAATTTTTGTATTTCTTTAATCAATGTGTTCTCTTCGGTGATATATATTGCATTATATATTGATGTGTATATCAATATATACTGATATGTATTACACTTACACGTGCAAACACATTAAACGGGGGTGAAAAATCCTAGCCTTCGCATACTATATAGCCTCTGCAGAGAGATCCCAAGCAGTGATATCTTGGTGTTGTGATGTACAGAAATGGAGAAGAGTATTAAACCATATTTAAGAATATAGCCCAGACTCCTGATTTATTTATCTTTCTAGTGCAGGAAATGCCTGATTTGCTCAGGTCAATGCTGGAATGTGGAAGTTTCATCCGCTCTCCCCCTGTCTCCACAGCTAGCTGTGATCCCTGTAGCTGTTCTGGCCCTTCTTGTCATTGTGTTCTGTAGGTTCATGCTGCACTGGACTGTTTTCCAGGTGAGCTGCCTTTGTGGGAGCTTGAGGTTGAAAAATCTCCAAGTTCTCAATGTCATGAGGTTGAAAACCTTTTATTTTTTGTACTTGGTGCTTCCCTCTCTCTGATTTCCACCGCTGCAGGTGGGAACATGTGCCTGGATCCTGAAGGCTGTGCAGAAAGGGCGTATCTCTTGTGCATCCTGTTTGCTTCTTTCCCCCTGTCACTTTGCTAGGTGTACCTGGGTGGCTGCAAGTGCTAAGAGCAGAGATCTGAACAGCAGGTGGTGCAGGTAAAAGCATCGAATGAAGCCTGGCACCACGCAAAGACACCCAGGCACTTGGTGCACGGGGCCGCTGCCGCTTGCAGGTGGCATTGGGGATGGGACTCAAAGCACCCCCAAAACTGTCACCCTCAGTGACAATGATGGAAAAAACTTGGGCCAGCCCATGAGAGGAGCGGGATTTGCATTTGCAAGCCAAAAGGGCAGCTTTCCATTTCCAAGTCCTGCAAGCCCTGAGCCTACGTTGCTGAGAGGGAGCCCCTCTCCCCGTGAGRGAGGCTCGAGGCTCTTGCCCGCCTCACCAAGGTGGTCCTGCRTTTGGGCATTTGGACAACACTTGAAATACTCTTTTCTTGTACTGCTGTGTCACACGTGGGACTTGCCCTCCGCAGGGTGCCGCTTCAGGAGTGGGGGCCGCCGGGGCTGGTCTCTAACCCAATGTTTCTCCTCTCCCTGCCAGGGCAGGAGCTCCCTGAAGCGTCGCCTCACATGCCTGCTGCAGCGCGGCTGCCCTGCTCCACAGCACCCAGACGGCTCCCGGACAAACTGCTCCCACGCTCCGAGGCTCCCGGCGCCACTGCTGCTCCCCACATTGGAGGGGAAGGTCTCAGCCAGGCTAGTTGGCAGCTCCCTCCGCGTGCCCGAGATTCCCACTGGTCCTCAGGGGCTGCTCTGCCCAGCTCCAGCTGCTGCTCYAAGGTAAGAGAGCACTGGGAAGGGCAGCTCCTAGAGATGCAGGAGGCTCCAGAAAGCACTGCGGTACTCAACATTTCTTTCTGAAAACACTGCTGGCTTATCGGTGCTGCTTTATTTACATATTTATTTTCAGGCAGCGACGTGGCAGTGAAAGGCTCTTACAAGAGGCGAGGGAGGAAAAACCCTTGTGTGGAGAGGCTGCCCCAGCAGCACAGGTGAGGCGCCCAGCAGTGGCACATCCACCAGGGCTCCTGTCCCAACACCCCGAAGCTGTCACCCCATGAGTACTCCAACCTCCTGAGTACTTTGTAGACGTCCCCCGGAGCTGCACATGCTCTGATTGCTTTAAATGTGAGAGGAGAGCTTGCTGCCTGTGGGAGACCCAAGGTGGGCGCTGCTGGCATCTCACGTGGACAGTTTTAACCTGCTTACGTCGGCATCAGCTGCTGCGTGAGCCCTGGGTGCCGTCGCACCTGAGAGGCGGTTCCTGCTGCCTCTGGGGAGGTGCCGAGGAGGGCGAGATGGCTCTGTGTGAGAGGAGAAGCAGCCCAAGAGCAGAAGACAACATGGGCACTGGGGGGGTTCCCTTTCCCTTCTCTGTCACTGCCAAATCTGTATTGAATGAAGCACGGAGGGAAGAAGGAATGGGGCTGTGGAGCCAAGGGACTCKCCTCATGTGCTGGCAAGACACTCTGCAGCTCTGCACCTCCTGCGTGCCCTTCCTCACATCCCATCGTCCCCTCCCATCCTCATTCTTCACGAATCTGTCCCACCCAGAGCCGCTTCTTGGCTCCGTACTGTCGATCCCCCGAGCAGAGGTTTCCCAGCGAGGGCTGTGGTGCCTGCGAGAACCCTGTGCTGTGCAGCATTTGAGCTGCTTTCCACTCTGGTTTGTAAAGGAAAATACTGTCAATTTTGTGCCGAGTTTGGGCTCTGCAGGATTTATGCCCTGGAGTTTGGTGTTCGTTTGATGCCCCTCAGTTGGCCTAAACTCTCCCATAACCTGGTAATTTGGGTGTCGCAGGAGGGCGACGTAAGGAAGAGCCGCCCCTCTTGCGGCGTCCRACAGCAGCTGCTGTCTCTGCTGTTCGGTACTTGCAAGAGTAGTTATAAATCTGATTCCTTAAGTAATCAAAGCCAGCACTGTCGCTTTCTGCATGCAAAGCATCTCTGAAATAGGAATAAATGCTCATTTGAGCATTTAGCACCCAGCAGCTCCATYGGAAATCCCAGAGTTGGGACTTCTGCCACCACTTGTCTCTCTAATCYTTTTTCCCCTGTTTTCTCCGTGGCCCTCAGCCACCTGGTCCTTTCTTTTTTCCACAGGCAAATCACGTTGGCACAGGCAGAAAACACAGGCACTTAAAAAAGCAGGTCATCCTGTAGCTTTATTTCTATATTCTGGGTCCTGAGATCTGTTTCAGCAGTCTTGGGGCTGCCCTGCGTCTCCTGGCACGTTAGAAGTGCCCAGGCAGCTTTGCTTGGGCATCTTTAAGACAAGGCCTATAAGATGCATACACATTTCCTTGCTTTAATGGTGGTTTTGCCCCAGGAGAGGGCGGGAGCCTGTGCRCAGTGCCTGGAGAGGCCCAGACCTCTCTCCTTGGTGTTAACGACTTTCCTGACCAGGGAGCAGCTCTTCCTCCTGATCCTCCTAAAGGATCAGCTTCCTTCACCCTCCGCTGCCACCATGGCTAAACAGGATCTTCCAGCTGTGAAACCGGGCTCCAAGGGCTCTGCTCCTCTCCAGAACTTTTTGTCCTGTTGCACAACACAAAGGTACCTTGGGTTCCCTTGCTCTGGGGCGCTCCCACTTCCCCATCTTTGCAGAAAAACTGGCACAACGGGTTCCCTTAGGCCGAAACTAAGCCAGTGCTTCCACCTGGATAAGGTCATCCTTAAAGCTTAATGACTGGCTTTGCTTCTGGCTTGCTGATGTGCAGATCTGGGGCTTGGATCTGTCAGCAAAATAGGGAGTTATGCCCAGAGCGAGGACGTGTTGATACGGTGCCAAAGTAGCCAGAATTTGGAGCCCGCAGCCGTGGTCCTGGTTATTGTAATAATATTAACACTTCAACAGAAACAAAGCACTTGCAGCTTAGCAGAATTCAGTGTTTTGATGGAGTATTTTTGTGTACCAGACTAATTTCATCAAAAGGCTGGTTCTTCATTCATCCTCTTGCACCTTCCCTAGCACATGAATCTCTGTCCTGACCAGCTCATGTGAACAATCACAGTTTGCTCAGGGAACAACCTCACTTCAGTCTGCAGCTATAGAATACTTTGTTATCATCTGATCTTCTGGGTAGCTAGCACTCTACTCAATTACTTTCAATATTCTTAACAGTTCTTTCTCATACATCACAGCAATATTTTGTGTTAATATGGTTAAAAATGTAGCTTTTTACCAAGTCCCACAGCAATATTTTGTGTTAATATGGTTAAAAATGTAGCTTTTTACTCAAGTCCCACCTGCCATCTCATGCCCCAAGAACCACGGCTGGCCCTGGCACGTTTGCTGCTGTTGTGCAAGTTGTCAGAGTGAGATTCCAGGTTCTCTCTTGCTCCAAAGGGGCACTGAATTTTTGCCCGCTGCATTTGTCGCTTTTCGCACGACCCGGGCAGTCCTGTAATTGGTCCTATTTGGGAAACCAGCCCCGCTGAACTTGGGAAAGTACCGCTGCCAAACGGCACCGTCCTGCTCAGCATATATATGCTGTGTATATACCATCCTGCTCCTATATTTAGGAGCAGAAATGCTGATTTTTGACTTTGGTGGTGCAAATGAATATCTGCTGGCTTGTCTGCTCTCTGGAATGAACACATTAAGAGAGGGAGAGAGCAAAAAAAGCAAGTGGGATTTTGTTCCACCATGYGCTTTGGAAGCAGATTCTCTGCGACATCGTTACAAACCCACAGAGGTCAATGGAGTTAGATAACACGTAACAGAGCCCAAACTGGAACTCCTTCCTTATAGGCTGTGATKTAAAGGTGGAAAGAATTCAGCTCAGCTGTCAGCCTGAGTTTCCAGGTTTGCTTGGGGGAAAAAAGCCCTATTATTTTCAGGTGGGGACGGAGCGYGATGGATAAGGGCTAGGGGGTGCATTTCTGGTGTCACTCCGGGATTTGGGCAGGGATKGGCGGCGTGTTGGGTGCTCACGGGGTCCAGGCCAGGGAAAACGTGCCAGCCTTCAGGACACGTCAACGGTGCCTTTTGCTCCCCGAGGCATCGAGCGAGTGGCAGCTTTTTTGTTTGATTTCTGTGAAAGAAGTGCGGGCCTCACAACCCGTGCTCCTTTAACTTTTTACTCTTTTGACTCTCCACGGGGAGCCCGCATTATTTTCCCTTCCTTTCRCCCTTCCTCACGCGTCCTTTGCTTGATTCTCTTCCCTGCTCGGACCAGAGGGCAGGCCTCTCTGGAGGGAATGGCCCTGAGGGCGGCAGTGCTTTGGGCGGGAAAACGCCCCCCCCTCGTCGTACCTCCGCCAAACGCCCGCCGTGCCGTTTCCGCGGTCGAGGCGCCCCGGGGGCCTGGCCGCGGGCGGGTTTCCTACCTGCGCTGCGGCCTCGCGCCGGGCGCGGCCCGTGCGGCAGCCGCGGCGCCTC